ATCTGAATTTCAAGAAAAGTCAGAAGGAGTTAGTGATCTAGAGGAGAAAAGGAGTCAAACAGAGAAATTTGGGAGAGAAAGGAGCTCACTGACCCAGAGACCTTCTCTCTAAAACTTCTCTCTAAAAACTCCAAAACTCCTGAAGGCCCCCAACCCCCTATTTATAGACTTTCGGATTGGCCCAGAACGGCCCGTACCGAATTCGGAACGGCCCGTTCCGAACTCCCAAATCACGCACAAAATTAACGCCCAGAACGGCCGGTTCTGAAATCAGAACGGCCCGTTCCGGGACTCATCCGGAACGGCCCGTTCTCCCTCCGGAACGGCCCGTTCTCCCTCCAGAACGGTCCGTTCTCCCTCCTGAACGGTCCGTTCTCCCTCCCAGAACGGCCTGTTCTCAACTACAATATGTAGTTCAATTCAGTAGCTTGGAACGGCCCGTTCCAATTTGGGAACGGCCCGTTCTGGGCTACTGAATCAGCCTTTTTTTTTTTATTTTAACAATGTTACAAATTCACTAGTCACTTTCAACATAATCAATTCAATGCTCCTAAGGATAATCTCACACACCAAGCATAAGTCTCTAAATTCTCCAATCAAATCCAACCCTTAAATCATCAAAATGATATACCAGAGGTCATCATAATCAAGGCATCTGCCACAATATTGGTTTTACTTCTATGATCATCTCTAAAGATTAAGCACCTAAGCATAAGTTCACTAGGTATACATATCATATCTCTAATTTCATCCCTCCATCTACACCCAAGTCAAACTCTTATCTTATAGCCTCATATCTTGTCACCAAAATTGTGCTTCTCCAATTTCCTTCAACAATCCATTCGTTACTCAAGTCATACTTAGTCTCACACTACTAAGAGTAACCTTATAAGCCAAACTTAAATCTCTAACTTGAGCCAAAAGGATTCATCTCTCTAATCATAAGGGAAGATAAATATAAATGTTTCCTACACGGATGTTACTTTTGCAGGAGTTTGACATTCAGATCAAAGACAAGAGTGGTGCAAAAAACTTCGTTGCAAACATTTGAGTAGGACAGAGGGGAGGATTGTTGATCCTCTCCTTATTAGAGATGATTTTCCTGATGAGTAGTTGATGCTTGTACATGATATTGCTCCTTGGTTTGCTGATATTGTTAACTATTTGGTTGCTTCTATTTTACCTCCAAATGCTTCTAGGTCCCAAATATATAAATTGAAAAGTGATACTGAATATTATGTTTGGGATGATCTTTACATGTGGATGTTTTGCAATGACAAAGCTATTCGTAGGTGTATTCTAGATCATGAGATTTAGTCAGTGCTCCAATTCTATCATGCTTCAACTATAGAAGGGCACTATGGACCATACCAGACCACCAGGAAGGTGTTGGATAGTGGGTTCTACTGGCCCACCATCTTCAAAGATCCACACAAAGTCTTTGGCACTTGTGAGCAGTGTGAGAGATCAGGATCGGCCACCACTAGGAGACATGAGATGCCTTAGTTAGAGCCGTCAAAATGGGCCGTGACTCATGGGCCAACCTGGCCGACCTTGAAAATAGGTTGGGTCATGCCAAAATAAATGAAAATTTTGTAGTAAGTAGGTATATTTAAACGCGACCCACTTTCACTCGACCCACCTGGACTGAACCTGTGGTGGGCCAGGCAGCCCACCAACCCACCCAATTTGTTTTTTGCAATGGAAATTTGATTATGGTTTATAGTTAATTTTGTATGATGGGACATTGAAATTTTTTATTTTAGACTTCTATCATGGTTTGTATTTAATTTTGTATGATGAGTTATGACTTATGACTATTAATGATGCTAATTTTATGACTATTATGTTAATTTATAATTAATTTGAAATTTTGAATTTTGTTGGTAATTTTTTTTTAATTTTTTGGTGGGTTGGTGGGCTGAATCGTATGACCCATCAACCCGTAGTGGGTCGGACCGGGTCAACAAAATTTTGAAAAAATCAAAAGTGGATTGGGTTACGTTGGCCCATTTTTAAAGTGGGTCAAGGTGGATCGGCTCACGTGGGCAAGACTGACCCCTTTTGACAGCTCTAGACAAATGTTGTGGCTTACAAGAATCATAACAAATTATGATGTTTTTATCTTGGGAATTTAATTAAATAACTCATATCTACTCTCAAGTCTTGTTTTACTTATTAAATGAGATTTTTCAAAGTGTAATATGTAGATTATGCAATATTTAAGGAAAATGTTTAAGGAAAAGATAATCTTTATTGGGGTATAAGGAAAAGACAACTAACAGTCTTTATTAAAAGATAAAAAAAAAAAAAGATAACAACGTAATTGTAAAAGATATATGAAAAAAAAATTAAAAAATATTTTTTATTTTCAATCTCTTTATCAAATTTTTATTGGTAAGACATAATGTGAGACATTTAAATGAGATAAGTGATTTGAATCCCTCTTGAACATACAATTGAGTTAAGTATGATTCTATTCATTTGGAGTAAAATGTGTCTTACAAAAGATACTTATAATCTTTATGAAAATATAAACATTTGTGTTTCTAAAATGTTAAATTTGTTTACTTTTTTCATTTATAACCCTTAATTCGTTATAAAACATTAAATATATTTTTTTATAAAATACTAAATTTATTTATCTTCATTTAATATTTTATAAAATATTAAAAAAAATCATGAGAAGATGCTGATAATCAGCTGGTTAAGTCAACATCTAGATCTTACATATAAGTCAAGTCTTCCTGTTGGAGTTAAAGCACTTAAAATTGAAGCTCTCATTGGTCACTTTAAGCATATCCCACCCAAGCACTTTGGCCACTTTATTCAAAGTAAAATGTCGCTTTTTGGTGATAACATGTCAAGTTTGGTAATCCCCTCTAGAAAGTTTGCACTTGTGGTCTTTTGCCTTTTGTTGACTTTAATTAAGATATATAAGTGTGTTTTATCTTGTCAAGTTCAGCACCAATAAACTCTCACCCTTCATAAGTATATATATAAACGGAAACCTAGCTTGAATATATTAGTGAAAAAAGGAACATACACCAAACTTCAATTTACTTCTATTTTACTTACAAATTGTGATTAAATTAATTTTGAAATGATAAGGTTATATAATATATCCTATGCTGTCTTATACTGTTGCTGTCACCTCATTGTTAAATATGCTTTTCCATCCATAAGTAAATTTCAGTAGTGGAGTTAATTATTTTATTTTAACCCTTTCGCTTCGTGTACTTGCATAAACATTATGTTAAAAAAAAATGTGGCTAGAAATTTAGTGGAAGCCATAAATATCAACTTTTCCAATTAAATTTAATGTTTCAACCAGGTAGATCATACATAATTGAACACACATGAGTGTACATATGAGTACACGTGCACAAATATTCCTCCGTTTTAGTCATTTCTGTCTTTTATAAGACAAAAATGATTTTCTCATGCCTGTATGGGATGTGAAATAAGGGTAGAGACTAAAAAAAAATGATAATAATAAACAAAAAATTATAATTCATGAGATAAAAGTAAAAATAAAAATGTAAATATATATAAAAACATAAAATATATATATAAATCAAAGTTATTTATACAGTAAAACAGGACACATTGTCAAAGTTCATCATGTTCACACTTGGCAAACTAACATTAAATAATATATATTTTCTACCTAAATACTTTTGATTTAAAAGCCATGACAATCATATAATATTTCCTTCACATCTTATACAAAATGTTTCCTTCACATCATGTGCCTTTACAGTTCCATTTACATCCACATAAAAAGAATTTAATTTCTTCTTTTTTATATTTTTATTAGCTTACACAACAAAAGACTCTCTTGTTAGCTTTATCTTGTTTTTATTATTATGGAATTAGAAAAGGAATAAAGACACAATTCCTCTAACAGTATAATTAAAAACAAATCTACACTAGATTTGAAGTATAGTTGCCATATCCAAGATTGAAGTATCAAACATGAGAATCTAAAGTCCACCAATCCTAAACCCAAATAAATCTGAAAATTCATGAATTCTTACAAAATTCTCTTCTTTTCTTTTTTATAACAGGAATCTTTTGAAACACTTCTTAACTACTGGAATCTCTTCATCTTGATAATTATTTGGATTTTTAGTTGAAATCCCTTTAAATCAGTTAAATATAGTGCTTATAAATAAAGCAAAAGCTAACAACATTACATAATCAAAATATAATCAATAAAAGTCATTTAATTAAAACAAAATTTTATTTTGTTAAAAGAATGTGCTTTTCAATGGGAATCCGATTGTATCTGTCACGTATCAATTTCTAAATGGACGTGAATCAGTGGAAAATTTAATTATTTCACTGCACGTGTCAATATCTAAATGGGCACGAATCACACTACTAAAAATATATATTTACCTAAGGATTTTCATGCAAAAAAATATTTGTAGGAAATTATTACAAAAATTCTTACAAATGTGAATCTCTAATAAATTATTGCAAATATTTTTGTAATTTTAAATTCGCAGAAAATTCTTGCAGATTTTACTGCAACATATTAATTATATAAATTTTTTGTTGTAAATAAAAATTTCTAAAAAAATTTGTAAGAATTTTTTTATTTTCCTGCAAAATTTGTTTTAAATTTAAATTCGCAGGTAATTTTTTTTTTTTGTAAAAAATATTTCCTGCAAATTTTTAAAATTTTTTTTGAATCCTCCGTTTACACACGTTGTCGTCTCCTTGCCACCACCATACTACTTGCATTGCATTGACTACATCACCTCCACAACATTGTCGGTAACACTATTTTTCCACAAAAGCACCGCACAATACCATAACACTTCTCTCAACTATTCTTCATCACCTCTAAAATATCATCGTGCCACATCCACAACACTTCTCTCCTTTTCTCGCACCGCATACATCTGTTAGGATTTTCGTTTTCTCTCCTTTTCCTTTTCTCGCACCGCACCTCTACTTGCATTGCATTGACTACATCACCTCTGCAACATCGCCGGTAACACTATTTTTCCACAAGAGCACCGCACAACACCATAACACTTCTGTTAGGATTTTCGTTTTCTCTCCTTTTCCTAATTTTTCTCACCGCACAACACTTCATTTTTTGTGTGCTTTTGAATGTAGATTTGAAATACCAACTCAATAAGATAGAAGACAATGCTTGGAATCTGAAAAATGTAGAAGCAGATGTTGGCTGGAGGTAAGATGTTGGTTGGATATGATTTCCTTGCTTTCTTCCATGTTCTCAACCTGTTTAATTTTGATCTAAGTTGAAACTGCCACTACACATACTTGTTTGATTTTAAGAGAAAATGCTCTAGTTTTTGGAACAGAAAATTACTCTGTAGACTACAGAACATGGGAGAAGAATCTTATCCTACTATAGCAAATTAAAATGCATACTCCAAACCTTCAAACTCTAAAATTGCTGGGGCAGGGAGAACACATTATGCAAAAGCAATATTTCGAACCCTCTACATATATATGCTACTACTTTTCAATTTCAATGTGTTTATATATGTTTTCGTTATGCATTCCGATCGAGAAGTCTGATCCCAAGTATATTTTTCTGTAATTGGGATGCCACTGCAAATGCACATCATAGATTGTTGTGGGAAAAACATGTGTGAGAGTGAGACAAATTAACAGTTATAGCAATCTTGCCAGCTTATTACTAATACAAGAATTTTACTTTAAAAAAAATATATGTTGAGAATATACATCTACAAAATACAAATACCAAAACTTGATTGTACAGTAGTTCATCACTTTATTTTAAATGATATATGATGGGAAGAAGCTAGTTATACCTTATAGTTATATAAAAAAATAAAAATCTGATGAAATATATTATAATTCTAACTGTCAAGCTAATATATGAAATTATAAAAGGATTTATCCAATCATTTATTTATATATATATATATTATTTTAATTATATTATTAAATATTTTTAGATATAATATTTTTAATAAAAACTTTTCGATTTTTTACTGTTTATGCACATTTTGACAGTGAAAATTGAGGTTCATGTTTTGAGTTTTCATGCAAGAAGCTTGTCAAAATAGGCTTTAAGTTTTCATGCGATAAGGCTCTTGGTGAAAAGTGCTTAATTCTGCTGTTTACACAAATGCAAGCCAAATCATAGAAGATATGTGTTCACCATTGTTGCACATTCATTCATGATCAAATAGCAAAACCTACTAAAATTCTCATTACTATTTTAATTTTATACATGGAAATGCATTAACAGCTTTATCTTGTATTTGTATAACTATGTCTCTTCCTCTGTGATTGATGCCATGTTTTCGTTTGATCCCACTCAGAAGTTGGTGGTTATAATAGGTGGTTTTACTGGATTCTGGCCTTGGTGCAAGAAGTTTAGGATTGTCTCAGCAATGATTCTAGAAATTCTGTTTCTATGATTTGTTTAGAATAAGGCACATGAATTTCTCTATGCATATTGGATGCTCATTGGTGTCTCTATTGTTCTTTGTCTTTGCTTCTCTCTTGGATTATTAGTTGCTTACGTAAATCATTTTGTTCCTTTGATGCTAACAATTATATTTTTACATTAAATATTGAGCATAGTCTTGTGAGTTGAGTTGTTTGCTATAACATGATTTTTTTTCTGTTGTATTTTAATTGAATGTATTTCTAGAAAGCCTAAAAGAGGGAACCGGGTATTGAGCAGTAGAAGCTAGAATTTGTCAAAATAAATTATAAGCAAGCAATATACTCTTACATACTACATACCACCCACAAACACATTTACAATTAACTATATATTAATTTTTGTTTTTTTCTTGTTGTTTACCTTCATCCATTCACCTTGATATACACCGATAGATATTAACAAAGTACTTTTGTATTCCTTACCTACTGGATGAATGATTTATGACCAAACTCATAATTCCTTGTAACTATATATCTCACTTATATCATTAATTAAAAAAAATACATTAATTATTTTTATTTCAGTGGGACACTCTAAGATGAAAAGAGCTCAATTTCATTATAAAATAAATGTTAAATGGATAGGAAAGAAAACTAGGCAGTGGTGACAGCAAACTACTGCTATAAATCACATATCTACGTAATTTTCTTCAATTTACGTAAGATAAAGTTTATTTAATCATTTTATTCACAATTTTAATAACAAAAATATCGAATACTTATTCATTTTAAGTTGTTAAATTATATTAATTCATTTTTCTTTTCTTTATACTTCTAGATATAAGTAATTTTTTAAAAAAGATATGGCAATAAATGTTCTTGTTAAAACACTGCCCTTCGTGTGCTGGATCTTGTAAATTTTAAAAATTAATATAATAACATCTTTCAAATTTAGTAATTAAAAGGAGTGTTTACTTTTTTTCTTTCTTATGTCATTAACCTTTTTAGTACTAGGTCACTTTTATTTTGTTTATGTAGTACTCAAAGATAATGTTCTAATTATCTAAGTTTATAATGCAGTATCATGAAGTGCCTTGTGATAGTTTGGATGTTTAGATGCTTTTAATTATATATTAGAGGTATGTTTCCCTCCTTAACTTCCAAATTATAGTCCTGCTTCTAATTTATTTACTCTTGTTGTATTTTATTTTCTTTTAATTGTTATTATTATATATAAATATTCAATAATATATTTTAAAATATATTTTATTTTCTGTTCGCATTAGCAGCTCTAATGCAACACCTTAGGATTTGTTGGTTCTTGTTCACATTTACCATTGTCAACTCAACATAACAATGAAAGTAATGACGAAGATGATGAAGATGATAGTGATGAATATAGTGATCATATTGAAGGTGATATTTGATGTCTTTTCATTCTTTGAAAGAGGATTTTGCTTTAATATCTTCAATTTTTTTAATTTCCTTCTATTCAGGGCATGGTAGATTATAGGTGCAAGTTATGGTGGACTGTAGATACAAATTGACTCTAGTTCATGGTATATCATGCATACGTTATATTATTTATTTTTTAGTACATGGATTTTGCCTTGACATATTCATTTTTTCGTTTATTTTTATGCAGGGCATGGTTAATTGTAGATACAAGTTATGGTTAATTATAGATACAAGTTAATTTTATTACATGGTATATCATTTATTTTTCAATATATGGTATTTGCATATTATGTAGAACTAAATATATTTTGTTTGTCTTTTGAGTTGTTAGGATATTTTTTGGAGATGTATTTCCAGACTAAACCAAGTATCTGCCTTATCATTTTTTCACTTTTCATTTCCTGAAACCCTGACGTATCATTTTTGTTCAACTATGTAAATATCTAAATGGGCACGAATCAGTGGAAAATTTAATTATTTCACTGTATTAGATACGGTAATATATATATCTATATATATATATATATATATATATATATATATATTTATAATATCAAACATGTCATTATTAGAATAAAATGTATGATATCTTTTTAATCCAAAAATACATGGTATCTGTAGTTACGGAAATAATTAAATTAAATAATATTGATTATGATATTTGACAATTTTAGAATTTTAGATACGGTAGATAATTTAATTGTCCCTTTTATTATAATTTTTTTATTACTTTCTTATAAAATAAATTAAACATTGTAATGACTGTTATCCAATAATCAATTAAAAGTAGGAGAAATCTCAACCCATATCTAAATTAATGCATAGTAGCGTATGTCTTTATGCAGCATTCCTCCTTTGCCTTAAGATATAATGAATTAAATTCTCTTTAATCTTTAAGATAAATATCAAATTTTCTATTAATATTTTGTTTATCACTTTTTATCATTACTTATATTTATGTTTCACTTTCTTTTTCTGTATAGGTGTTGAATAGAGTTTAATCTACACTAAACTTTACCTCTTTGGTTAAACAAAATATTCACATGCATGATAGCAACTAGAAATAGGAATAAGATATGTCTTAAACCTAAATTTATGATCTAGTATGTATTTTCCTATTTAACAAAATAAGCTTAAAAAAACTCATTTATTTTAAAAGGTTATTTTTAAATTTATAAAAAAAAAGTCTGTTAATTTGAAAGTTAGTCTATTTATTTATATATTATAATAAAAAAATAATACATATGTTATTATAAATAATATAATTAAATAAATAAATTTGTAATACATAAAATTAAATTATTAATATTTTTGACATTTTTACTAACTTAACTAAATATTTTATATTCTTTGTTCTCAAAAAATAAAAAATTTAGCGGTCACATTTTCACCTTTTCTTTTCGTACATTTTTATGGTTGTTTATTTAAAATATTTTCAATGAAATATAGAAAATAGTTTTAGAAAGTTTTTTTCATTTGAAATAAGATTATCTTCTTTCATATATATGAGTGGACATGAGTGTGTTGAGTTATCCTCTTATATTTATTTTTATTTTTATTTTTATTTTTATTTTAAGTTTTAAATTTCAATAATAATAAAGTAAATTATTTTTTGTCATAAAAATTAAAAAATAAGACTCATACGTATATTTAAAAATAAATTTATTGACTTATTCAAAATTAAATTTATCAATTTATTTAATATTATTAATATAAAATAAGTTTTTAAATAGATTAATAGAATTAATCAAACTTTCAAAAAGATTAAATTATACCTAAAAAAACTAATAAATAATAGGTTAGATTTAAATTTAAATTTTATAAAATAAATCCAACTGGTATATTCAAATTCTAATATGACTGGCTTGAGTTTAATGGCAAATACATTACAGAACCTCCATTCGAACCCACAAGAATCTGAGGAAAGGTAACTTTTAGAATTGCTGAGTTACAAGTGTATATTAAGCAATAATTTCGAACTCTAATCCACAATGCTGCAGTCCCACCACTAGTACATAATCCCGATCAATGGGTCAATCAATTACTGTCTCTGTGGTCGGCCAGAAGACTAAAGTTGTGGTGCTCATAGTTCCAAATTATGAAGACATGACAATTCGTTCTGGATGTCATGTCCTATTAGCTACTTTGTTTTCTTTGTTTCTTCTGCACTAACCTCCTCTCCACCACCACTGTTTCCTTCTTCCTTGACAAGCATGTTCAAATGCACAAACTTTCATTCATTAATAATGAAAATATATATGAAGTTCCTTTCCATATTTCTGCACCCATTTCAATCCTTTTGATATGGTAACCCAATTGTACAGTTGACATGAATCTGAATTAAATGGGTCGTTTAATCAAGGTACGTGCCAAGCAGCTAAACTACCTTATGAGTAAAAAAAAAAACCTGCATCATATAGTAAATATAGTATATAAATAAAGAGTAATTTTTATTTTATATATAAGTTAATTTTATAAAATTAAATTTTTTTATAACCTACTCTTTAAGATAATATTAGAGTTTATTTTAACAATTATTAATTTTTATTAGATTTATCAGACTACCTATTGTGAGATAGTTGTCAAACCATTTAGAGATGTTCAATTCTATAAATTTTATATTTAAAATATTCAATTCTTAATATAAGAAATGTGTTGGAAATCACACATTGACCAATGATACCACAAATATAGAGTATATAGGTAGATTGGAATTTCATACATATGGCCAAAGCTTTTATAGTTGTGTCGTGATCGCAATTGCGACCACATTTGTCCATAAATTTTCGTAATACAAGGGATAGGATTTAGGGAGGATGAGGGTGGGACGACCCTCCATCTTGAAATTTTCAAATATACATATATAAATATTTTAATTTGTGCTACCCGTCGTAGTTAAGCCAATCTACAACAACTCGTTCATGACAAGTCTCCTACCTGCCGTAACACAATAAAATCCTAAACGGTTAATCCCTAATGACTAGTAAGAATCTCAGCATGGATATCTCTCTTAATATTGTATTCTGGAACATATATAGTGATTACTTAATATAATCTTTACTTATCTAGAACAATATCTCTGTTAATTAATGACAATGTCCCTACGCAACGCAATCACAAGAAGATATATTTGAGATATCATGCAACAATATCAAACATATATATGAGGCACTAGGTATCATGCAACAATATCCAACATATATACGAGGCACTAGGTATCATGCAACCCTAACCTAATTCTTCACCTAACAAGAAGATATATTAGAGTGTCTTTATAGGTGCTGCCATGGGAGAACTTACAAAACTCTGGTAAGAACATTTGACATCCATTATGAGACCGAAGTGAAACTATCCTTCATCCACACATGACCTCCACCCAAGGCCAAGTAATGAAAGGTAATGTAACCTCCATATACACTATCACCAATGGATTGGTTGGCAGTGGCCCCTCCAACTCATCACAAAAGAAAACACCTTAGGGCTCTTGGTAGTATGGCCATCACACACGTTAAAATGCCCAAATCACTACCCCTTATTACTTTCATTGACTACAAATTTTCAGGGAATGATCCGTACCACGATGAACATGTAGTCATCTTAGTCCAAGTTGCCAACTAGGAAGTGTAGAAAACTCTGATGGACCAAGGAAGCTCGATTGACATTTTGTACTGGAAAACTTTCCTCTAGATGCAATTACCACAAAGTATCATTGATCTATAACACAAATCATTTCTAGGATTCACTAGTCACACTATCACCACATGGGGATATATGGAACTCCTGACTAAATTTAGGGAAGACGAGCATGCTAGGTCAGTAAAATGTCAAATATTTACTAATCGATATTGCTACTCTATATAATGCTATTATATGGCGACCCACCCACAATGCCTTGGGCACTGTAATCTCCATACTTCACCTTGCTGTGAAATTTCCAACAAAGCATGACACTATAACCAGAATTCAAGCTGACCAATGCACAACAAGGCAATATTTTGTTGACAGCCTCAAAATCATAGGTGGAAAGGAGATCATCATTGTTAATGTTGACTAAGTGGTTGAACCAAACATCCCATCGCTTATTATAGGCTTCAACCTTGATCCTCGATCCTTGATCTGGATACAAAGATAGTTACCTAACACCAACTAATGAGTTATAAGACCTCTAAGACGACCCTAAGCCCGACTAGTTGACCAAGATCGGAAAAAAATTGCCCCATGACATACACCAGGGCATCATCAAAGTGCTACTTAAGAACGCTGACCTCTTTACCTATAGTGGTGTAGATATGTTGGGAATCAACCTTATATTCATATGTCACAGATTTTCTATTTGTTGGCAAGAAAAGTCAATCGCCCAACAAAGACGGAAGCTTGGTGAAGAAATATGCCTCATCGTCAAGTAAAAAGCCAGGAAACTCAAAGTCATTGGATTCATCAGATAAACCCTTATAAAAGGCTTACTTCAAAGGTTCTAAATTCTTCTCTTTTATTTATTCATTTTATTTATTCATTTTATTTATTGTTTTATTTATTATTTCATTTATTATTTTATTTTTTTATTTATTATTTTATTTATTTTATTTATAATTCTTATACGCTAATAAATAATCATGTAGATAATAGGTATTTTTCGTCATGTAAATAATATTAAATAATAAAATGGGATAAGATATTTAAAATATTACTTATTATTATGCTAATATCATCATAGGGTACCGATTTAGGGCATTGTAGGGTGCTTAACACCTACACGTAACTGACTCCCGAATCCAATTCTGGCTATGAAGGCCTTTATTGTAATTTCAAAATCTTTTCTTTTTCCGATATTTTGAGTAAAATATCGGTGGCCCCTCCTTCAAACATTTTTCAAAAATCATTGGTTAGGTATTAGTTTAGTCTTTGAGCATTCCCTAACCGATGAGATTTTCAAAATGGAAGTCCAAACCATTTGTGGGTAAGATCGCAATTTTTCAGGTTCCGACAAATACAAATACATATTTTCCAACAATCCTCAAATATCTTGCACACAATGTCTGAGCGAACGAGCTCTCATGTCTTCACACTCTTACATGCGATTATCGAGCAAGCGAGCCCTCGTGCCTCTCAAATCTTACACGCGATTACTAAGCAAGGGATCTCTCACACCTCTCAAAATTTTCACACATGATATCCGAGCGAAAAAGCTCTTACATATTTATAATCTTACACGCAATGTCCAAGAGAATGAGCTCTCACATCTTCACACTCTTACACGTGATTATCGAGCAAGTGAGATCTTGCACCTCTCAAATCTTTCACACGCAATATTCAAGCGAATGAGCTCTCGTGTCTTCAAATCTTCACTTGCTACAATGTGAGTGAAGAAAAAAAGTACCTTTAGCCACCATAGCATTTCAAGGAAGTTCCATGCATTGGTTGA